ACTCTGTAGACTGGCCTGGAATTATGTAGCCCAGGATGACCTTGAACTGCAATCCTGCCTCAGCCTCCCAAAGGCTGTAAGAGTGAACTACCAGACTCCTTGTTTATGCACTGAATGGAGCAAATGCCAATGGCCACGTTTCCCTCCGGCACCCTGGCTTCTCATCTCAGGAAGGACAAACAACTGGACGTGTTTGTGTAAGCCATAGCCCACATATGTTGATGATATACACTCCTCACAAGCCAATTCACAAAGGTTCCGAGACTCGTATTTTAAGAGCTATTCTGAACCAGTAATGAGAAACTTCTGGTGGGATAGAAAGAGGATCCATCTTCAGACCTCAGCCTTCCTAGATGGGAACTGGGGAAAAATGTCTTCTTGTACCATTAAAGTTTTTCGTTTTGTTTTTATACGTGTCTGAATAAAAATGCCAAAGTTTGTTCGTTTGTTTGTTTTATTCTTGTCAACCGAAAAGTGCATGAGACTGTCCCTTTGCTTTGCTTCTTAGCAATGGGTAGCTTTCTCTGCTCCTGACATTCTTACTATGTCTTATCTAAAGTCCCCGAACCTTTATTTAAATTGTATTTTTAATTATGTGTATGTGAAGGAGTGGGGGTTGGCGATGGTGAATGCAGTGCCCACGGAAGTCAAGAATGCTGGAGTCACAGGTGGTTGTAAACTGCTTGGCATGGGTGCTGGGAACTCCCTCCCTCCCTCCCTCCTTTTTATTAACCGGTTTTACTGGGAATCGCTACAAAGTAGCAAGTGTAAACTAAAGCGCCAAAAAGCACACAGCGCCGTGAGTGTGTGTGTGTGTGGTGTGTGTGTGTGTGTGTGTGTGTTCCTACACAGGTGGAATACACAAAGCTGGAAATGATTCAGAACTCATTCTCTGGAGAGTGATCAAATACCTCCCGAACACTTTCCTCGGATGCAAACGCACAAACAACAGTGCCGCTTTACTCGAGTGCGGTCGGCAGGCCATGGTAGATGGATAACCTCCCAGGCTGTCGTCAGTGCCCGCTCCCGCGCCCACGTCCTCCACCTCGCTCAGCCCGTCCCGCCCTCCCGGCGGCGGCGGCGGAGGAGGAGGAGGAGGAATGGACTGGTCGGGCCGGTCCCGCCTGCCTACCCGGGAGTCCAAGGCTACGCTCGGGATGACCGCCCTAGGTGTGCAACACCGACCCGGCGCCCCGGCTCCACCCCGCTCCACCCCGCCCAGCCGCCTCCCACCCCTGTTCCCCGCGTAGCTCCGCCCCGCCGCGCGTAGCCCGCCCCCCTCTGTTACGAGTCCCGGCTCCGCTCTCCGGTGAGGGAGGTTTTTCCCGGAGAGACCACGCTTTCCCTCAGGCTCCCCAACGGCTCCGCCTTCCCGCCGGAGCCAAACCCTTCCCAGCGTGCCCGGCGATTCCGGCGTGCGCAGACCCGGGAGGGCAAGGCCCCAGGGCCTGGCGGAGGGGCGCGAGGAGCAGGCTGGGAATTGTAGTTCCCGAGCCCACGAGGGCGACTGGAGGCCGGCCGCCGGCCGGACTCATTGTCCCAGCGTGCCCTGCGCCTCAGCCCGCGCGCTCGCAGCTTCTCGCTCTCCCCGCCCGCCCTCCTGCTCCCTTGCTTGCTCGCGCTTTCCTCGCGGATCGAAGAGACTCTGCCTCCAGCTTGTGGCTGGGAAGGGAGACGGAGGCCGCAGCTCAGGGAAAGTGAGGCTGCAGTAGTGGTGGTCGGAAGATGTCGGGCGAAGACGAGCAGCAGGAGCAAACTATCGCCGAGGACCTGGTCGTGACCAAGTATAAGATGGGGGGCGACATCGCCAACCGTGAGTGCGGCCTCGGGGGTCTCGGCTTCGAGGCTGAGAGGGAGAGGTTTGGGGCTGTCTCCGGAGGGGCTGGAGCGGCTGGGTCTTGCGGAGTGAGCCACCGAGGGGCGCGCGCCGACGGCCGGGGGCGACGTGGTGGGGAGATCTGGTGTCGCCTCGGGGACTGAGCAGCCATGCCTGGGCTGGAGAGTGTGGAGGTGCGGGCCGGCGACCGCGAGGAGCGCAGAGAGGGGCCCGGACGGGCTCCGACCCTAGGCGGTTGGTAAGGAGGCAAGGCGCGTCGTCTTCTGCCCATCACCCCGTCGGTCTGCCCGGATCCCTGCTTCCTCCGGCTGGCAGCCGCGAGGCCACCTCGGAGAGGAAGCTCCCAGCTGTTGGCGGCACAAGCGCCCCTCTGGCAGGCGCGGGTCTTGACCCGTGGGAGCCAGGCTGGCACGTGCTGCCAGGTCCCCGTGCGGACGGCTGGCTCCCCACTTCCTCTGCTGCCGTGCTTCCCCACCACGTGCTTTGCTCAAGTCTGTACGTGAGGTCTTCCTGGCTGGGGGCCCCCTTCTCCCCTGGCCTGGCTCGAGGGACCGTTGGAGGGCACGTCTGGAGCCTCTCACACGGCTCCGAAAGAGACCCGGCTTTCTGGAAGAGGTTAATGACTGCTGCCCCAGCCTGTGGAATGGCCTGACAGTGCTCTGCTTAGACACACAGCCGGGCAAGCCTGCCGATAATGCTGGAAAGAGAGAGGCGGGGAGGAACACTGATTTCAGGATCATCATACGCATTTCTTACTGGAGCCTTGCGCTTCTTCAGCAGTTGTCTGCCACTCGGGCAGATAACTTTGTTTTTCCCCCCCGAGACAGGGTTTCTGTGCGGCCCTCCCTCCCTGCCCGTCTTGGTACTCCTGTAGACCAGGCTGGCCTCAGAGATCCGCCTATCTCTGCTTCCCAAGTGCTGGGATTAAAGGCGTGTGTCACCACGCCCGGCTCTTCTTTCCATTTTTAAAAGCCACTTCCGGAGATAGAAACTCTTAGGGCTTTAAAATGGTCTTGACAAAATAGAAGAAGGTATGCCTTTGGTTAAACCCGAGTTTTTTTTTTTCAGGATTCCAAAGAATAACCAAAACACTGAAAGAAATCAAACCTAGAATTCCCATGGGTCATAAAGAGGACATATACAAAATAATACTCCTATTTGGAGTGATGTTTTAGTATTTGATGTTATTGGTTTAAATCAGACAAACTTTCCATCCCTACAATTTACAGCTTTAGGCAATTGTGACTTAAGATGATAGTTTTGAAACTGATCACATGTTTAAACCTTGAGTCCCCTGAATCTTTGAGGCCTTAGATTAATTCCCCTGGGCTTATACACTTGTATATGGGGAAATGCATCTACATAAATTGTGATTACTAACACCTAATTAGAGTGTCTAGGAAAGAAGGCAACATTTAACAATGCTTCAGCTTTGACTCAGCACTTCTATGTGTACCTTGCCGTTGTCCCTGACGCCTATAAATTTCTCTGCTCTGCCTGTGCATACAGGGTATCTTGGGCACAGTTCCCTAACGCTCATGATTTTGTATACCATAACATCTTTGGAAGGTGCAAGGCCTTCTATCTAGGTGACAAGTGGAGAGAAGTGAGCATTAACCTTTTATTTTAGGAAAGGAAGATAGAATGGTATGGTGGTACATTCTTTTAGTGCCAGCACTTGTGGGGAGACAAAGGCAGGCTGGTCTCTGAGTTCCAGGACAGCCAGGGGTATATCAAAAAAAAATCAAAACAAACAAACAAACAAATGTAGATATTGAAGGGGATAGTTTGTACCAGGACAGTTTCCGCCTAAGACAATGGCACTAGGGAGTGTTATAAAAATGAATTCAACTTCAGGTCTAATTAGATGATTAAATGCGTGCAGGACTGACCTGATGGGATTCTGTCCCCAGGGGTACTTCGATCTTTGGTGGAAGCTTCCAGCTCAGGTGTGTCAGTACTGAGCCTGTGTGAGAAAGGTGATGCCATGATTATGGAAGAGACTGGGAAAATCTTCAAGAAAGAAAAGGAAATGAAGAAAGGTAAAAGGGAAAGAATTCCCTTCTTAATTTCTCCCATTTGACCCCATCCATCATCCTATAACTTCACCCATCTCTGGTTAAGATGTTTGGAAATCTGGAGTAGCAAATGGGATGGGTATAGTTTCCTTCCCAATCTAAACTGAGTAAGTTTAAGCAAGTCCCTAAAATAAAAAATCCCTTCCCTTTTCTAAAGGGCAACAAGTGTTCCCGAGACAGTGAGGCGCAATAAGGTTGATGGTTCTTTTTGCAGGTATTGCCTTTCCTACCAGCATTTCGGTAAATAACTGTGTGTGCCACTTCTCCCCTTTGAAGAGTGACCAGGACTACATACTCAAGGAAGGTGACTTGGTAAAAATGTAAGGATAAGCCATTCTAGAGTATTTGTCATTTTTCTACACATGTACACAGTGTGGGTTCCTAATGCAGTATTCTGTGCTTGCCTTTTAGTGACCTTGGGGTCCATGTGGATGGCTTCATTGCTAATGTGGCTCACACTTTTGTGATTGGTGTAGTTCAGGTAGGTAGCATGCTGTTCAACTTTGTTCAGTCTTGGTAGGGGGATATACTGCCATTATTTTTTTTTTAATCTCCACTCTGTAGTACCACATAATTTTAGGATATCTAGAGAACCTCATGTAACTGGCTGACCTTGCATAGAAACACACATTAGTGACCTTTCAGGATGATACTGTTATATTTCTCCACAGGGGACCCAGGTCACAGGTCGTAAAGCAGATGTCATTAAGGCAGCTCATCTTTGTGCCGAAGCTGCCTTACGACTGGTCAAGCCTGGAAACCAGGTGAGGTTTTTCCTTCCGGTTGCAAAGCTTGGCAGAAGTAGAGGTAAAATGAATCAGCCTCACCTAGGAGCAGCAGTTAACTGAGATCTGCCACAGTTTATTGGAGGTATAGGAGGACAATGTAATTTCTTACTATGGGGCCCATAAAGGCCATTTTTAGATTTTGTATGTGCACTTTAACCCCAAAATATTTGAGGTAGGTAACTAACAATGAAACAAGGTGTTTGTTGTTGTTTTTGTTTTGTTTTGTTTTTTTGAAACAAATTTTTTAAGGCTGCATAAAAAGGATACCAAAAGTGCAGGCAAATTCATGCCTAAGGGACCAAACTAAGGAAGTCTAGAGCCGGTCGAGTTCTTATGAGCTAACATGAAGCATGTTGGATTGTCAGTGAACATTATCCCTGAAGTTTTAAGTTTTCAGAGAACCGCTCAAAACTTAAGACATTGTCTTTTTCAAACCCTTTTCTGTTCCTCGCACCTGTACTCAGTTTGTATTTCATCCTCATGGTTACTGCTTGCATACTTTCTCCTGAAAATTCTGCCCTTGTTTCCTTTGATGACATTGACTTCACAGTTGTTTTCTGTTACTTGTATACACTTGTTATTCTTATTGTG